CCTCGGCTTCTTCTGCCCCTGCCGCCGAAGCCTGGTCCTAAAGAACCTGCTTCTCCCCGCCCCCTGTCTTCTCCCCTCCCCCTTTTGGAGACCACCTCCTGGCCCGACACTCCCGCGCGGGGACACGTGCGTGCGCGCACGCCCACTTGCCCTCCCGCCCCCGCCTCCCCCGGCGGTTCCAGGTTTGGGTCCCTCACTCCTCCCCGGCCACGTCCGTCCCCGCTCTTCTAGCCCGGGCTCCCTGACTCCCGGAGAACACGAATAACTCGCGGGCTGGGGTAGACCGGCGTGGAGGAGGGACGAGCGGGAGCTTTTGTCTCCCGTCTTTCAGTTCAGTTGGGAAGGACTTGGTTTGCGCGCTTTCCGTGTGGCCGGCACTGGGCTAATTGCTGGGGGCACACAAAGAACATAAGGCACAGTCTTGACCTTCGAGTGCATTTCACTCTGCTCGCGCCGACTCCCTCCACCCTCGGAGTATCGCCCGCCGTTGACGTGCTGCCTGGAACAATGAACTTGGTGTCGGGTGGGTCCTGGGGAAGTTGACACCGGTCTAGACCGGGCTAGCCCCAGACAGCCCGTTAGTGACCACTGCAGTTTCCCAAACCTGGGAGCTCGCGGCTACAACATATGAGAACCGAAGTGCCATTTCTGGGCACCGAGAAACCTGCTCCCTTCCTCTCTGTTAACATACCCCGACCCCTCCCCCCGGCCAAAATAATCCCTTAGCGACCTGAGCCTCCACTCACAAATCCCGAGGCATTTGCTGCAGGAGAGATCCCAGAACACTCTGCTGCAGGGGTCTTGGAGAGGTCAGACCAACCTCTAGGTATGAGAGAAGCCCGGGATAAGGCCATTTATGGCTCTCTCCAGTAATGCAGATGGACAAGTATGGTCTCCCTTCATTGTTCTGTTTGATTTACTGAGACACTATCCAAGCTGCCCCCAACCCCCATCGTTCCAGGCTGAACTCATCACTCATCTCCCTGGGTTGTTACCCTAACAAAGACCCTTGTCAGAGAGATTCTCTTGCTGAGGCGTGGACCATTAAGCTGCCTCCATCCCAGGTGTAACTTTTGAATACCTCCGTGCCACCCTTCCCCCACCAGACCTCCCACTCCAGCTCTTTCTAAATTTAGGGCTCGGAGTCTCCTTGGTTCAGTTTAACAGCTACTTAACCAAGTCTGGCCACCTGGCCCTGAAGTGGACTAGACGCTTCCCAGAAGGCAGGCTCCTGGTCGTAAGGAACTGAGAGGGGAAGAGAATTATGGGGAAGAGATTGGGAAGACAAACAAATTAATGGTTGTCAGAGGCTTTGAGGAAGAGAAATATTCTGGAGAGGTGACGGAGGACAGATGGGGGAGCTTCCTATGTGAGTCAGAGTTGAAATTGAAGCTTGGAATTCTACCAGGGGAAATGGAGGGACAGCAAGGGCACTCTGAGCAGAGGGAAAGCCACAGCAAGGGCACAGAACTGGGAAACTGAGGTTGGACATCAGAAAGTCAGTGCACTTCGGCCAGAGAGCAGAACACTTGCGGGGAGCAGTGGAGGACTGGCAGGAACTCCAGCTGACTCGTGTGCAGGTTGGACTTCATTTGGCAGGCACTAGCTCATACCAGCGCTCACACAGTAGCTCACACAGATGCTCATAGAGCATCCAGGTTTGAGCAGAGTGAAATAGACAGAGTTGGACTTCTGGAAACCACTAGAGAGTGCAGATCTTACAGAATTAAAAAGACACAGGCACTGGGAGGTTCCTGGTCACTCACCTCTGTGTTCCTGCCTTGTAACACGTTTCTGCTGGTCCCGCCCGCTGAGCTCATTCAGAGTAGAGACAGGGTCTAGCTTGATTCTGTCCAAAAGAAATCTAATGCAAACCACAAATGTGAACGTGTGTAATTTTAAATTTTCTAGCAGCCACATTAAAATACAGTAAAAAGAAATAGGTGACATCCATTTTAGTAATATACATTAACTCAATTTATCCAAAATACTATTTTGTGTAATCAGTGTTAAAAATTATTAATAAGATTTAACATTTCTTCTTTTTATACTAAATCCTCAAGCTCTGAAGTGCATCTTATACAGCACATTTCTTTTCTTTTCTTTTTTTTCTACACATTTCAATTCAAACCAGCCAAAATCCAAATGCTCAATAGCCACAGTGCCTAGTAGCTACCCAATTGGGCAGCACACAGTTCTAAAATATAGTCTGACACCTAGTAGGCACTCCATAAATATTTGTTGAATGAATGAAAAGTACTGTCTCTAACAATTCTCCTGGCAGGGCTCTTCATTCCCCTTCTGCCTTCACTGCAATGCCCAGCAGCTGGGGATGAAAGATGGTGATGTATCTATCGAGAGGCAAGAGAGACAGGGCCAGCCCGGTGGCGCACTGGATAGTGTGCCACTTGGGAAGCGCAGCGGCGCTCCCACCCGAGGGTTCGGATCCCACATACAGACCAGTTCCGCTCACTGGCTGAGCGAGGCGCAGAAGCAGCGCCGAGGGTTGCAATCCCGTTGCCGGTCCCCAGTCCGGTACGGGGGCAACACTGAGGGTTGCGATCCGTTGCCGGACACGGAAAAAAAAAGACAAAAAGACAAAAAAAAAAAAAGAGACATTCATTCAGTTACTCGCTTATCCTTTGAGATTCTTTTTCCTTCCACCTCCTTTGAAAGTTCTTCATCTTTTAGTCAAGAACTGTGGCGGTGACTGGGCAAAATGATATGGACTTGACAATGCAAGGCACTCAAGAAGATTTCTCTTTCTGAGTCTGAAGACCCCATTCCAATTCTTTTCTCCTAGTTCTCAGGTTAATTGCCAATTTTACCCTTCCCCACCCCAAATGCACACACACACAACAACAACCCCTTCTTTTTGCACCCTTTCTTAACCCCCATTAGCCTGAGTCCCACTCCGGAAAGGCCAGCTGCCACTGAGGCTTGAATCACAGACCATCCTCAGTCAACTGAAGCATAGAGAAGTACAGGGACTTGGCCAAGGCTCCAGGCCTGGTTCCCAGCTGGCCGGGGACTTGACCATTTTGCTCATTACTGTAAGTCCAGAGCCTAGAACAGTGCCTGGCACACAGATGCTCAGTAAATATTTGTTGAGTGAACCCAAGTTCTCTATCCCTACTCTCTTGCTTTGCCCATTGTTCCTGGAGCATTCTTTGCTTTAAATTTCTCATCAGTCCTCTGTAAAGGATATGTCCTTAGGCTTAACAGCCTGTCTGTCTGTGCTGGGCAGTGAGGACTGGTTGAGAGATGGGGACAAGCTGAGACTGGCTTTCTCCCTTCCCCCTAATCCCTGCTTTTTTCCATTTGAACAGTGTTCCATAAACCCCACCCTCACATGGTTTACCGTAACTAAGTACCACCTGTGCTATTATTTACATTATTTTTTTAAGTAAGTCAATTCACTCTTTTTTTTTTTTACTTAATGCTATTTTTAAAAGAAACTTTATATCACTTCCATAAATGGAAACCCAGTATTGATGGCCATATATAGATGGTAACCATAAAAATAAACACAATGAAAACAATTCAATGTTATTCGATTTGAGCTGGATACTGTTGCTTGCTGAAGCCTCTGAGGCTGGCACACTCTCCCCTGGCTAAAAAAGATGAGCCAATCTAAGAGAAGGGCTCAAGGCAAGCCAGACCCAAGCTGAGATTTACTCCACTGAGTCATTAGCAGGATAAGAATGTTTTAAGAAACATTTTATTGAAATATAATATACATGCAAAAAAGCACACACAAACTTGATAAATATTCACAGATTGGCTGTACCATGTGAACAGCACCCAGATCAAGAAAGAGAACATGAACAGCACACAGGAGCCCCCTTCATGCTCCTTCCAGTGATCACCCACCCCACCCCAACTAGGGTGAACATTATCACAACTCCTACTGGTGTAGGTGAGTTTTGCCTATTTTTTGCATTTTACATAAATGGAAACATGCAATATGCAGTCTTTTGGTCTCTGGCTTCTCTTGCTCCACATTACACGTGTGAGATTTACGCATATTCCTCCACGTGGTTGTAGTCCTTCCTTCTCGTTGCTGGGTAGCATTCCATGGTATAACTACATCACAATTTATTTACTCATTCTATTGTCGATGGGCATTTGGATAATTTCTGGTTTTTGACTATTATGAACACAGCTGCTATGCACTTCCCAGAACATGTTGTGTGTGGAGCACGTGCACACATTTCTGTTGGATTTTCACCTAGACGTGCAATTTCTGGGTCATAGTATATGCGTGTGTTCAGCTTTAATAGATATACCCCAAAGTTTTGTCCAGTAAATGCATAAATTTATACTCCTCAGCACATGAGGGTTTCACTTGCTCCCTATCCTTGCCAACAATTGACATTTTCCACCTTTTTGAAATTTACACATTCTGGTGGATATGTAGTTGCATATCTCATTGTGGTTTTATTGTGCAGTTCCCTGATGACTAACAAAGTTGAGCACCTATATATATGATAAAATACAAGGAATTTAAAAAGGGAATCTTATGGCACAGTGTTATGTAATGTCATGCCCGTGGATCATAATTGACTATCTCAAGCAACACCTAAAATCATCCTACACTATTTTATTATGGGAAGTTTTGTTTTAATTTTAGGAGTTGTTTCAGGAGGAAGGGAAGAGGCACACAAGGATAAGAGCATTGCTTGAGCAGAGGAAGTGTCCTTTAGTCTCTATACAGTCCCCTGGGATTTGCCGCAAATCAGCACAGCCTCTTTCTTGGTGAGTCTTGAGACAAAATGAACAGGAGTGAGAATCTCTGGCTTTTCTCAACCAATTCCTTAGTTAGAAACTCCCTAATGGAAGTCTGGGGAGCATCACTATGGAAAAAATTAAGAAAAAAAAAAATGTGCTAGTCCAGAGCCTAGAACAGTGCCTGGCACACAGATGCTCAGTAAATATTTGTTGAGTGAACCCAAGTTCTCTATCCCTACTCTCTTGCTTTGCCCATTGTTCCTGGAGCATTCTTTGCTTTAAATTTCTCATCAGTCCTCTGTAAAGGATATGTCGGCTTTTCTCAACCAATTCCTTAGTTAGAAACTCCCTAATGGAAGTCTGGGGAGCATCACTATGGAAAAAATTAAGAAAAAAAAAATGTGCTCTGGCATAACGAAGGCCAGGGCTGCATGCCTTCTGGTGATTTTCTAAACAAGTCTCAAGTGCCAGGCCAACAACTTGATCTGATTATCACCATCATCTTTGTCTTCAGAAAATCTTAATCTAGTGCCTCTTCCCAGATGCTAGATTATCCTTTTGCATGGCCCTGCCCTCTAGAAGCTGCTGAATCAGGTTGGGTGATTCTGTAGTGACCAAATGGAAAGGACACAAAAGATAATCAGAATCATAATGTGAGCCCTGGAGGCTGGCAGAAGAGTTCAGAGACAGGACCTTGGGGCCAGTTTGCCTGGATTCACATCCAACTCCATCACTCACTTGCTATATAATTTGGGGCAGTTATTTAATCTCTCTGATATAATCAGGGGATGATAATAAC